AATATATGCAGTGTTTCTCAACCTTGGCTGTACATTAGAATCACCTGGGACCTTTTTAAAATCCTGATTTCTGGGCCTCATCCTCCGGAAATTCTGTTTGTTATGGGGTGGGGCCACAACATTAGTAACAAAGAAACAGAATTTCCGGAGGATGAGGCCCAGAAATCAGGATTTTAAAAAGATTCCCAGGTGATTCTAATGTGCAGCCAAGGTTGAGAACCACTGCTCTAGACCAAAGAGATAGATCGTCTCTGGAATTTGTGATGGGGCTGGGGGTAGCATCTATTGGCCTGATGAAACTATGTTTCACTTTTAGATTTTTCAGGGTTCCTTTTAAGTAAGCTAACCTTATATCTCCCTATATTCTCCTTAGAAATTATTCTCTGACTCTGTTAGCTAGGGCAGACTTCTATTCCTTAAAAGGAAATTAAATAATATGAAAGTAAGATAAAAACAAATGAGTGAAGACATAACAGGGCCAAGATACAAATCCAGGTCTCTTAATACTCAGTCTAATGGCTTTTGTATCATGTCACGATCCCTACAAATACTGAACAAGAGAAAATGTTCTTCAAACATAAGAAATATATAGTATCTAATAGAAATGTGCTCTTCAACACTCAAATAAATTATAAAGTAAAGAAGGATATAGTAAGGCTTAGATCCCGTGGGACAATGGCAAAGAACAAATTGGATATTGTGAATCCTAGGACATTATGATAATACAACTACCTTAGCCATGTCTGCGGATTATATGAAAATACTGAGCAAATCTAATTTAGTCCTGGGGGTCTAGCAGTGATGGATCACATGCCAAATTCTGGACCTTATCATCAAAATAATCTTGGAATTTCTGAACATTCACTGCTACTGCTGCTGCTGCTGCAAAATTTCATTTTGTGGTTTGTGAGTGAAAAAACTTCCATCAAGACTTTAAATTGGTGCTTTTGCAAATAATAAAAAGCCTAGTTGGGTAAATTTAAAATCATCTTCTAGGTTCACTAAATGTGTAATAATAAAATTTAAAGGAACCAGCAAGCTCTTTTCTGCTCAGTTTGCCCCCAAGTTTAGGTGATGGCCAGGCTCCTGTGACTGGACCTCCATCTTTCTAGATTATGGGGGTGAAGGAACTGTCTAATTTATCCACTAAGGAATCAAGCTAAAATTTACAATACATGAACTAGGTTGGGGTGTGAGCAGATTTTAAGAGAAATGAACCAACATATTGAAAAATCCTGGAAGCTGACACATATCAGTGCTGAAAACATTGGAAGATTGCCAGAAAGTATTTTGGCAGAAGATAGTCAAGTTTAGAAGAGCTAACTTTAGAATGAGGAAAGACAGTTAACTGGAGTAAAAGCAAAAACAAAGGTGAATAAGGGGGGAGGGGATGTGGATGTAAAGGAATAATCAGAGTTTAATTCAAGAGGAAACATCGGCAATCCCTTTTTTTTAATGAAAAAAAGAGCACTCCCCCCCCCAAAAAAGTAAAAGTTTCCTTTTCTACTTACTGAAGAATTACTGAAAATGAAAATCCATTGTAACTAAACAACAACACTGATAATTTATCTAATTTAGTATGTGGTCTAATCAACAGGACAAAATAAGAATTTTGGGAAATTAATGCATTTTCCTTGACCCTGACCAAATATATCTGAAAACTACCGGCCATATGTTCTCCAAGGCCCCTTGATGGAGGTGGCCTTTTTTTTCCTCATAAAGGCATTTTATTTAGATTCCAAATAATCCAAAGCAGAGAAAAGGGGCAACAAGTTATTCCGTCCTCTTACAAGCTGGGCCCCCAAGTGTCTGGCTCCAGCCAGAGGAGCAGGGGACCAGGCCAGGGTCCAGGAACCTCAGGCCACCATGCACCCCTCCCCACCTGCCTCCTCTCTGAAGCAGAGGAAAACCCAGAACTAATACAGGAAAAGAAAGCGAGACATAAGAGGAAACAACCCAAGGAGACAGGCAGCACAAACCTTGGGTGCGATAGTCTCAGGTCTGGAGGTGCCCATTGGCGCACAGGGTCCGGCCTGGTGAGGTGAAACTTGCAAATCTGTGCGTCTGGGGACTGGGTGTCAGGCCTCCAGTGGCCACCGTTTTCCTCTTAGTCCCCGAAGCAGTTGTCGGCCTGGGCCCCAGCATGGACTTCACCGTGTTCTCCTCGCCATGGACATAGGAGAGGTCTGAGCGCCCAAGCGTGGTCTGCACGGTGGCCAGCGCGGGCGGCTTTGCGCCCATCAGGCTCTGCGCCCGCGTCCCAGCACCTGCTTCGGGTGAGGCCTGCGAACTCCCCGCGAGACTTTGCTCTCTTTCCACTTTTCTGTGTATCAGGGAGGCAGGTGGGATGGTGCTGGGCTCCTTCATGAGGGAGATGAAGCGCAGGCGGACAGTCCTGAGGTTCCGGGGGCGTTCCTGCTCTGCGCGCAGCTCCGGGCTCTGGGGTGGAGGCTGGGGCATGGCCGCGGGGTGTGCGATGGAGACGCACACGTGCCGGGCACCGAGCGGTCGGTGGGAACTGCAGGCGTGCCTTGAAGTAGCCACCATCCTAGTAGGTTTTGGGGGACCGAAGATGCCCACCTCCCTATTGTACTCTGTCCACCAGAGTCACCTAGAAACTGTCTACGGATTCCTCCTGCAGCCCCTGGAGCCGGAGCAGCAGCGCCTGCTGCGAGCTGGGTACCAGCCGTCTGAGCAGAAAACTGCTTATCTTCGCAATGCAGATGGCAGGAGGGCACAACCATATTGCTAGATGTATTCTTTAAGTATACAGTTAATTTACTTGAGAGGTTGTTTATGAATTGAGTTACAGAATAAATAATGTGAGAGGAGGTTGTGAAAAGTATTTCACAGAAGATAGCATTTAATATCATGGAGTAACCTAAAAGTTTAAAAAGATGAAGATAAAGGAACTTCCTTGATAACCAACGAGAAAGTAATTTCAGTTCCTATATATTGAGTTTATCTCCTTCCTATAAAAGATTGTTTTGTTTGTGTTTTTGCTTATCTGGATAACAATCCGTGGCAGAGGTGTAATATGTTATAAATATGGCTTCACGGTCTTTGCCTTTCATTTTAAAAAAAAACATTATTACTTTTATGTGCTATGGAAAGTTACCTTGATAATTAAACTATGTAAATGTACTGTATTATCTAGCTTGTATTATAGGTGCATTCGGAGTACAAGTAAAAGTTTTAATTATCAAAACTGGAGAATAAAAGTAACTTCTACACCAGGTATGTTTAAAAAATTGTTAGTTTATGAACCTAAATTGACATGTTTCTTTCTTTAAACATTTTTTAAATTAAATTTATTGGGGTGACACTGTTCAACATGACCATATAGGTTTCAGGTGTGGGTTTCTATGTCACATGATCTGTATATTGCACTGTGTGCCCACCACCCAAAGTCAATTCTCCTGTCACCATATTTTAGGACCCCCTTCCCTCTGGCAACCACCACACTGCTGTTTGGGTTCACGAGTTTCAGTTTTATATTCCACATATGAGTGAAATGATATGGTTCTTAGCTTTATCTGACTGACTTGTTTCCCTTAGCACAATGTTCTCAAGGTCCATCCATGTTGTTGCAAATGGCAGTATTTCATCCTTTCTTATGGAAGTATTCCATTCTTCTTCATCCAGTCCTCTATCACAGGGCACTTCGGTTGTCTCCATGTCTTGGGCACCATGAGTACTGCTGCAATGAACATAGGGGTGCATATATCTTCGTGAATACATGATTTTGAGTTTTTTGGCCATATACCCAGGAGATGGATTACTGGGTCGTATTTTTAATTTTTTGAGGAATTGCCAGATTGCTTTCCATAGAGATTGTACCAGATTGCATTCCCACCAGCAGTGAATGTAGGATTCCCTTTTCCCATAGCCTCTCCAACACTTGTAACTGCTTGTCTTATTGATAATGGCCACTCTCGCAGGTGTGAGGTGGTATCTCATTGTAGTTTTGATTTGCATTTTCCTAATACAAATTAGAGAAATCTGATTTACTAGTGAGATTGGACATCTTTTCATATATCTATTGATTGTTTGGAAGTCTTCTTGGGAGAGGTGTATTTTCAGGTCCTCTGCCCACTTTTTTATTGGGGTGTTTGCTTGTTTTGGTGTTGAGTTTTGTGAGTTCTGTATATGATTTGGAAATTAAACCTTTGTTGGAGCTACTGTTTGCAAATATCATCTCCCCCCTGGTTGGCTACCTCTTTGTTTTGTTGTCAGTTTCTTTTGTTCTGCAGAAACCTTTTAGTTTTACATAGTCCTTTACTTCCCTTGCCTTTGGGGTCAAGTTCGTAAAATGTTCTCTACGGCCAAGGTCCATAAGTTTGGCATTTATATTTTCTACCATGTAACTTATTGTTTCAGGTCTTATACTTAGGTCTTTGATCCATTTTGAATTCAATTTTGTACAGGGGGACAAACTGTGATCCAGTTTTATTCGTTTGCATGTGGCTTTCCAGTTTTTCCAGTACCATTTATTGAAGAGACTATATTTACTCCATTGTGTGTTTCTCACTCCTTTGTTGAAAATTATCTGTCCATATACTTGTGGTTTTATTTCTGGGCTCTCTATTCTGTTCCACTGATCTGTGTGTCCGTTTCTCTGCCAATACCATGCTATTATAATTATTGTAGCTTTGTAGTATAATTTGAAGTCAGGTAGCATGATACCTCCTGCTTCGTTCTTTTTTCTCACGATTGTTTTGCCTATTCGGGATCTTTTATGGTTCCATATAAATATGCTGATTTCTCATTCTATTTCTTTAAAAAAAATGACATTGGGCCAAATATCTTTAAACATTTAGACTACTTATGAACTATTTCTAAATGTATTTAAGCTTTGCTTCAACAGTAAATATTTTGAAATGTTAATCTTTCTAAATCATTCCTCTATTCTCAAATAATCTCTAACACTGCTGTATTGTATACTAGTATATGAATCGCAACACAATATTTAATAATTGCTATCATCTGTGTACGCAGATGTCAACTATTAGAAAAATGGTGTAACTATAATTTACTATCTCTACCAACTATATTTTCTACAGGATATTGATGACCAATGCATTGGGTTTATTTGCATTGCATAAAAGGATCAAATTGGTTAGTTCCTCTGCAATTTTTATTTTTTTCATTGTTTGGAGAGTGACATCTACTTAATATAGCATTGTTTTAGCAGTTACACCAATTTCTAACCTGAATGGAAAATGTGAAATAATGAAACACACATTTCTAGACTTAATTGAGCCTTTCTTATTATAAAATATTATAATGATTACATTATTTCAATGACTCAAAACTAAATAAAGATGTTTAACACAAAATATTTAAATAAATATCAACGCCTGAGTATAAGATACCTATAAGCTAAATTAGAGCTTAGCTCATTGATGGCGAACCTTTTGAGTTCGGCGTGTCAGCATTTTGAAAACCCCTAACTTAACTCTGGTGCCGTTTCACATATAGAAATTTTTTGATATTTGCAACCATAGTAAAACAAATATTTATATTTTTTATATTTATTTTATGTATTTAAATGCCATTTAACAAAGAAAAATCAACCAAAACAATGAGTTCGTGTGTCACCTCTGACACGCGTGTCATAGGTTCGCCATCACTGCTCTTAGCTCAACAATGAATTTATTGGTGAGGACACTTGTGTTAGGGATTACTTTTGGTCTATTATCATTCCAATCATTGAATTTATAAAGTAAAAACCTTTCACTAACTATAGGCCCTTATCAGAAAAAAAACTTTTGCTATTTCCTCAATTCTTCTAATGAGCCCTATAATAACTCCACTGAATGACACTTTTCCAAGAGCTAAACAGAATATAGCATTTTTATAAAATATGTTTTTAAATTGATTTTTGAGAGGAAGTGAGAGGGAGCAAGAGAAAGAAGCACTGATGTGAAACTGAAACTCAATTGGCTGCCTTCTGCATACCCTCATCAGGGATCCAGCCCAAAACCCAGGGCCCAGGAATCAAACGGGCAACCTTTTGGTGCATGGGACAATGCTCAACCAACTAAGGCACAGTGGGCAGGGCAGGCTTCCATCCCTTAAACTCCTTCAATTTCTAATTATTTAATGTCTAATTTACATTGAGAGGATCTTCTTTTCTAAAATCTGTGGTTATACAACCAGATTATCTTAAAAGTCCTTAACTGAGGCTCCTAACTTTACTTTATCCCTTCATAACATTAGAATTATTCCAGTTAGGAAGGATAATTCATAATAAAGATATACAGATAAATACTCCAATAATTTGGGGTCTCAAGAGCTGAACAATTCTGTTTGGGAAAGGGACCTAGTTTTTAACAACTCTATGCAATTCACTTACCATCTCTTGTTTTTATTTTCCTTCTTTATACAAAAATTGAGCAAGATGTTCCTTTGGGTTATTTTAAGCTATTATATTTCATTCTATTCTCAAGAGTAAAATTCTTGAATTCATGAAGGTACGACTTTCCTAACTTTGCATGGATTATAAACTTATTATGTGTCAGACTTCATGATAGACACTCTTTTTCAAAGTAGAGTTTATTTTTTTAGGATAGTTTTAGATTTACAGAAAAAAAAATTAGGTGATAAAACAGAGTTCATTTATGCCCTGCATTGCAATATCTTCTTTGTTTATATCTGACATTAGTATGGATCACAAACTAACTTAAGTCCATACTTTATTCAAGTTTTCCTTAGTCACCTTACATAGCTAACCTTTGAACAAAACAGGTTTGAACTTCATGGGCACACTTATACATGCATTTTTTTTTCAATAATTACATGTGTGGGGAGCAGCTACAGTGTTTGGACAGGTTCAAGCCTTGGACTGTTGAGAGGGCACAGTCCTCTCATTGCCATGTGCAAGTCCCAGCTCAGAGGGCAGAGCCCTCCCAGCACAATTATAGCCAACAGCTGTAGTTGTAAGCTTGAACCTATGGTCCAAACACAAGGCCCCATGTGCCTGAGTGATGTAGGCTTGATAGAGTTCAGGTGCATGTCGTTGAGTAGGATTGAAACCCTTGAGAATGTTGTAAACATCTTGATCACGCCCTTATTCTGCCTCATGGCATCTGCTTTAAAATAAAGACATGGCTTGTGGGCGTTGTCATTGTCTCTCAGAGAAGCAGCCTCCCACTGAGACCCAGCTTTCATTCTCTTGTCTTTTCTAAGCCTGTCAGCTGCCCCCACTCAGGTTCACCCTTGGCCGTGCTGGCGCGGCACATACATGTAGTTCTGTAAATGTATTTTCTCTTTGTTATTATGTTCTTTATTAATATTCACTTTTCTCTAGTCTCCTTGTATTTCAAGAACAGAGTATACAGTCCATGTAACATAAAATATGTGTTAATTGACTGTTGATGTTATCATTAAGGCTTCCAGTCAACAGCAAGCTATTAGTAGTTAAGCTTTGGGAGAGGGAAAAGTTATAAGTGGATTTTTGACAACACAAATGGTGAGCACCCCTATTCCCATGTTGTTCAAGATCTTTTTCTGTTCCAAGATTTTGTTGCCATATATATCTCTTTGGCTTTTCTTGACTGTGCCAATTTTTCAGATTTTCCTGTTTTTTATGACCTTGACAGTTTTGAGGAATACATGTCAAGTATTTTGTTGAATGCTCTTCAGTTGGAATTGTTTTTTGTTGTTTGTTTTTTCTGCATAGTTAGATTGGGGTTATGGGTTTTAGGGAGGAAAACCATGAAGATAAAACCATATCATCACATCATATTAAGGATACATCATCAACTTATTTCTAACCTAATATTGATGTTGACCTGGCTGAGGTAGTGCTTGTCAGGTTTTCTCATTGCTCATTTTCTCCCCTTTCCATGTTGTTTTTTTAAAAGGAAGAAAATCACTATACATACATTACACTTAAGGAGTTGGAAATGTTCCCCTTCCAAAAAGACAGTGTACCTGGATAAATTATTTGTAATTCTTCTACAAGATTTGTCTTGTCTCCCCAAGTTATTTATTCATTCATTCATTCATTCAATTATTTATTTATATCAGCATGGACTCATGGGCATTCATTTCATACTTTGGATTATAACCCATCCTTTATTTTGTTGCTCAAAACTGTCCAGGCTTGGCCATTTCTAATTCTTTCGTTTGGCTCTGTTAACCCTTCAACATACCTGGTCAGTGGAGAATTTTGTTTTATTTTGTTTTGAGCACTTCCTAACTTAGACATTTCAGGCTGCTATATTAAAATACCATAAATTAGGTAGTTTACAGATTTAAAAAAATTACTTTTCTATCTTTAAACTGGAAGTCCAAGATCAGGGAACCAGCATGGTTGGATTCTGGTGAAACTCTCTTCTGGGTTATTGACAATTGACTTATCCTATTATCCTCTAATGGCAGAGAGACCTAATACCTCTCAAAAGCCACAATTCCAAAAACTATCACAATGAGGATTAGATTTCAATATATAAATTTAGGCGGTAGGTACAAAGTTTAATCCATAACATTTCCTTACTTTCTAGCACCACATAATGATCCAGACCCACCTTACATAATTCCTGACCCAGTCCTAGAATCAACTATTTATCCAAGAAGCCCTGGTTCCTTTTGTTGGAGAAGGGGATTAGAAACCAAAATCTGGGTGCTAGATATACTTGTTGCTACTGGAGTGTTATTGAATCTAGGATTTCTCAGTTGACGGTAAGAACTATAGTTGGATATACTTTCCTGTGTACAATATATTTCTATATGTAACCATCTATTTCTATATTAAGCTAAACATGAATTCATAGTGATGTCTCCAGCTCTGATCCTTTACCATACAGCTCATTGTAGCTCTTCCCCTTGCTTATCTCTAACCTCTACACTTTATTTAGTTGTTCAATTCAAACACACACATAAACACACACACACACACACACACACACACATTTTAGTTGCTCAGTTGTTCAATTCACTTCCCCCCGCCCCCCACGCACACACACATATTTATATATAAACACTGTTAACTCTTACCCCTATAGGGAACAGCTTTGTCAACTAAAGTACAGTGCTCAGGCACAGTTCTTTTTGCCTTAAGCATCATAGGCTCTACTGTTTTCCAAATTTATTTATATAAGCACCTGTTTCTCTCATTTCTTCATTGAGGATTTTTTCATACAGTTGTAATATTGACAGATTCTTTTGTCACAATTTGGATTCTCCAATATGCTAGATATTTTTTTTAATATTTGCATACATTAAGGTTTACTCTTTGTGCTAAAAAGTTTATAGTTTTTTTTATAAATGCACATTATTTATTCATTATTACAGTATCACACAGGATAGTATCACCCCTCAAATAAACTGTTTTTAATTTATTAGAGGCTTCTCCCCTCTTCGTGAACTCCTGGTAATAACTAGACTTTTTTTTAATGTCTCTATTAGTTTTAACTTTCCCGGAATGTCATATAATTTGAATTATATAACCTTTCCAGTCTGTCTTCTTTCATGTAGAAGTATGCATTTAAGGATGCTTTGTGTCTTTTTGTGGGGTGATAGCTCATTTATTTTACCACTGAATGATATTTCATTGTATGAATGTACCACAGTTTGTTTATCCATTCACTGATGAAGGATATCTTTGTTGTTTCTAGTTTGGTAAGATGTCCAGATCCTTTGCTCATTTTTAAATGGGTTATTTGTCTTTTTATTGTTGAGTTTTAGGAATTATTGGTATATTTTGGGTACCAGTTCTTTACCTGATATTTAGGGCAAGAGAGACTGGGTAGTGCAGTTCACAGGGATAAGACTCACAAAGCAAAGACCAGAGGATGGGTCTGAATGGGGGATATTGCTGGCAAACAGGGCTCCAAAAGAGCGAACAACCATCATGGATTGTTTTCATGCCAGTGCATACGATCTCTTTTTAAATTATAAAGCAATGAAGCTAACAGAATAAAAAGGTTAAAATTTAATTTTGAAAACTTCTTGAGCACTACTTCTACTATTTTGCTATTTTTTCCTAAATTCAAACTTATCCTATAGGCACCAAAATTTACATGGAATATGTAAACTTAGAAACTGACATAATGTAAACATTACCTAAATCTATAAACTTTATTTCAAAATCAATTTGCATAATATGTAAACAAACAGGCTTTCAGTCAAAGTTTAATCAAGTTATTAAATATTAATATAAAACTGACATGTCTTCTAATTTGTGTAACTGCTACTGATCAAAAAAATCTTTAATTACTTTGTGATTTCAAACCTCATTTGTCTTCTTCAAGTAACTGGAAAATATTCTATAGATAAAAATTATAAAAGTCAATTTATGAAATGTACACTTACTTTTAAGCTTATCTCAAATAGAGAAAATACATTTTCAACGAATTATCTCTAAAGTTATTTAAACTCTTTCAAAAATTTATGTTAATCTTATTTAAGATTTTAAATACACTTAAAGATACTTCAATATTATTTGGCAAAAAATACTAGAATTTAAAATATTTAAACATTTCTAATAATATTTTATGATATAAGTATGACATAGTTTTGTCTTAAGATAAGATAACCATAAAATTGTCATCCAAAGAAGTACAGTTTTAAGAATAAAAAGGGACAATAATAAAAATCATAATGATAATAATAATAATGAAACAATGTACATAAGCCTAGACCAAGGGTTAAATGTAATCTTAATTTTAAAAATGAGTAAAGCATTACCAAAATTACTCAAAAGTTTTCTAAATACCTAACGTTAACTAGCACAAATATAAAAATCTATCATTTAGAGTAGATACCTAATAAACAATTTATTTACCAAACTGCTGATACTCACTTGATCTTATTAATAAAGGGTGAGAAACTAAATATAAGAGCATTTTTATATTATGAAATTATTAAAAAATATATTGAAAATCTGTTAAAGGTTTTCCTGCTCTAAAATGATCACCTGACAAGTTTCCTACAAAGCTACAGTTAAACATTAGTAGCTTTTGTTTAAGGCCACATTTTCCAGTCTGTTCCAAGCATGTCAGACTGTCAAATATCACAGGTTATGTCACAGTCTCGGGAAAATGTCCTACTTGGGGGTTAAGACCTTCTGATAGAGACATTTAATGGTTGTTTTTCCTTTTTTGGAAAGTAAATGAGATTAATAGGCCTTACCTCTTGCCTGTTGTTTATAAGCAGGGGTAAGCCAAAGTGCCTCTTTCCAGAGATAAGATATGTATCTGCAGGAAGGAAGGAGAAAGAGAGTATTGTCTAAAAGATTGCCCCTTAAAACTCCTGTATTTAGAAATCATGTCTGATTTTTATAAAAGCAGGGGGATATTTTCTTTTCTTTTTAAATAAGACAAAGCATTGCTGAATTTCACCACAGATGCACAATAACCTCAGGCTATCGAGATGGGGAAAATGGGCTTGGCCAATTTGGCTCAGAAGATAAGAGTGTCAGCCCATGGACGGAAGAGTCCCCTGGTTGGAGCCCGTGTGGGAGGCAACTAATCAACGTGTCTCTCCCACATTGATGTCTCTCTCTCTCTCTCTCTCTCTCTCTCTCTCTCTCTCTTTCCCCCTCCATTCCACTTTCTCTAAAACTCCATGGAAAAATATTCTCAGGTGCGGAATAACAAGCAAACAAAAAAATGGGGAAACTATTACTAGTTAATAGTATCCAGAGGAAGTAGCTACTGAGGATATTTGGCAGACAGGCATGGCCCTCAATAGGGGAGCCCAATTTTTACCTAGCATGGAGAGAACTGGTAAATGCTTTGGTAAACTATTGCTGAATAGCACAGCACCCCAAACTTAGTGGTTTAAAACAACTTTTTTACTATTGTTCGTTTTTCCGTAGTTTGAGTTCAGCTGGGTTGTTCTTCTGACCCACATGGTGTCAGGAAGGACAGTGGTTATCTGGCAGTTCAACTAGGCTGTATGGTCCAAGATAGCTCATTCACATAGTTTCCAGTTGGTACTATCCATTGACATGAGACTCAGCAGGGTTCATGAACCATAGTGTTCTCCGTGTCGCCTTTCTCCATAGATTTGTCTTTACCCAGCATTGCTACTGGATTCTGAGGGGCAGCAGGAGATAGAACCTACTTGTTGGGTTCTCCAGAAGATCCGAGAAGTTTGTGGTACAAGTTGTTTATTAGGAATCAACACCTAAGGGGGAAGAAAGGTAAAAAATATAAGATTGGGTAATGAAAGGCAAAAATCAAACTGTGATGCAGCAGACTTTCTTGCAGACATCACACATCAGGACAAAATGTCCAGACCTTTATACTCTTTCTTTATTTAGTCCTCAGGAAGGGCCTTACCTCAGAGAAACCACGTTTCTACAACTGAGGCAGATGCTGAAGGAGCCAATACCTGACCTCTGCCTGCTGTGCTGTCTTCATTATACACTGCTGAATAGCAAGTTCTTTCCTGAAGTCTGATCTGAGTAGCTCATTTTGTATCTATCACATTTCCAATCACCTTATAGCTTGGGTATGTAAGTGCCAAAACTGCAGTCTCCCCAATTCCATGGCCATTTGACTGATCAGAGTTAGTAACAAAAGCAGGTCATATTCAAAGAAAGGGGAGATAAACTCCATATTTTATATTAGGAGTTGCATGCATATCCATCTAGAGGAGGAATTTGGAAAGGCACTCCAGCTTCTGCCCTCAGGCTGTAACAATTCACATACAAAGTACACTCATCACCTCCCAAGAGCCCCCCAAATTTCCCTTCCCTTTATGGGATCGGCTCATATCCAAGGCTCTTGTCATCTATATCAGAGCCAGATGTAGATGGGGTGGGCTTCTGAAGTTCCTCAGGAATACCTGTGAATTATAAAATAAATCACACCAAAGAAACCATCATCTGTCCCCCACACACCCAACATACAATAATGATGAAAGGGCATGGCAGCCACAATGGAATCTTCCAGTATAAAAGGGTAAAACAGAAGACCCAGAGCAACTCTGCAATCTAGCCGGGAGGTTACCATTAGCTCTGTCTCCAGGGAAAGAATTTTTCCTGATTAGGGACAACTATGCTCCCTGAGAATGACTGCCATGGCTCGGCCTCCTGTTTCATCCTTACTCTTCCATAAGAAGTGGAACGTGTTTGCAGCTAAGTAGTTTTCTCAGCTTGTATCCTGCTCTTTGGAGATAAGAAACACAGAGGTCTTTTTCATTTAGAACTATCTCTGTCTCTTTTAGTTCAAACTGTTAAAATTTCTGTTAAAAATTCTGTCCTTCCTATGTATCTTCTATACTATATTTTTAGGACAGACTTTTTAAGACCCACTTCTCTCTACTTTGGCCTTAGAAACAGTGCTGTGGGGACAATATCATTAAGATTCCTGAAATCCCTCTCTTCTAGCCAAAAGGGCCTAAAAGGTACTTTCTTAAGATTCTTAGAAACTCTATTGTCTAGTTGAGGTCAACAAGGCAAGCCTTTAAGAATCTTAAAAGCCCTATTGTCTAGCTGAGAGGGTCTATGTGACAAATCCTAATCTTTCTAAAGGTTGAACAAAGTCTTTGCACCTCACACTTGAACTGATCTTTATGCTGTGGCTGTTTTTCTGGCAGCACTCTGGATTTGCTCTTTACCCCAAGGCTTTAATTTACTCTGAAAACTTTTTGTGTGCTGAAAGAGTTGAATATGAGAATAATTTATGTTTCAACCAGGAAATCCTTATTTGAAATATTTCTTCTAGATCAGAGGTTGGTCAACTATGACCCAGAAGTCAAATCCACATTGTCACCTGCTCTTGTCAATTTTTTTTTAATTGGAGCACAGCCACATTTATTCACTTACTAGGTGTACCAGTTAATAATGAGGATTTTTTTCAATAGTTGGAGTTACACATATGTTGATATATATGCAGTTTGATATGCATGCTATTTTGTTTTATTGACAGAAAGATTTTAAAGGAAGGAAAATGGGTGCCACATCAACTGAACAAAAGACAAATGGAAAACCAAAAAGTCATCAGTAAAATGTTGCTTCGATGTCGTGAAAGAAAAGTCTTTTTTGGATCGAATTGTGACTGGCGATTAAAAAATTGATTTATTTTGAGAATCCCAGATGCACAAAATCATGGGTTGATCCAGGTCAACCATCAATATCGACTGCAAGGTGTTATAGTTACAATTGTATTAGCCATAGGACCCCCCAAATTTGAATATTGTAAACTGTGTGAAGTGACATACAAACTCTGTACTTTCCCAAGTGAGTGAACACCCAAACTTGTACCCTTAGAACAGTGGTTCTTAACCTTGGCTGCACATTAGAATCACCTGGGAATCTTTAAAATTCTGATTTCTGGGCCTCATCCTCCAGAAATTCTGTTACTAATGTTGTGGCCCCACCCCATAACAAAGAAACAGAATTTCCGGAGGATGAGGCCCAGAAATCAGGATTTTAAAAAGATTCCCAGGTGATTCTAATGTGCAGCCAAGGTTGAGAACCACTGCACTAGAAACTGGTAATAAACCCCTGAGTGTACGCATACTATTTGTCTCTGTGTTATGTTTATGACTTGGCTCAGCTGCCTCACGCCTTAAGTTCCCAGAGGGACGCCATTATTGCTGACTCTGGGACACCTGCGCTTGTCCCAAGGCCGTGGCAATAAGTAATTAGAGAACATTGGGGTCAACTGGGACACAAGGCCAAATCACTTCAGAAAGAAGACAATGCTTTACGTTTGGTGGGATCAGGAAGGTGTGGTGTATTATGAGCTTCTAAAACCAGGTGAAACCGTTAATACTGTTTGCTACCAACAACAGATAATCAATTTGAATCACGCTTTGATCTTGAAATGATCAGTATGGGCCAGAAGACACGGTAAAGTAATTTTGCTTCAGGATAACGCACCACCGCACAACCAGTTAAAGACACGTTAAAAGATCTTGCCTGGGAAGTGTTAACCCACCCGCCGTATTCACCAGACCTTGCTTCTTCAGATTACCACTTGTTCTGATGGATGGCACACGCACTTTCTGAGCAGCACTTCAAAACGTATGAAGAAGTGGAAAATTGGGTCTCTGAATGGTTTGCCTCAAGACAAGAAAAGTTCTATTGGGACGGTATCCACAAATTACCTGAATGAAAGATGGGGGAAATATGTAGCTAGCGATGGACATTACTTTGAATAAAGCACTTTTGATGTTTCTCTTGACATTATCATGTTTTCTTTGATTACAAAATCCATCATTATTAACCAGTACACCTAGTATATATTTTCTATGCCTGCTTTTGCACTACAACTGCAGAGTTGCTATAGATACCATAGAGCCTGTAATTAGTAAAATATTTATTATCTGGCTTAATATAGAAAATGTTTGCTGACCTGTACTCTAGATACTGCTTGCAAATTGAATAGTTCCTTCTTTAGTTCCTTTCACCCTACTATGATCATGTACACTGAAATAAACCAGTTGACACATAAACATTCTGCCTAGAAACTTCCTTAGCCAAATACACAAGTTCATATATTATCTTTTATATTGCCACAAGTTACTGCATTTTCCGAACATTCTCCCTGTAAATAATTGGACAAAAACTCACCTCTTCTCCAGGCTCAACAATTTCCTCACTGTCTTGCCAGCCTCCATTGGCTGTCTCTTTGAGGCTCTTGTGACCTGCACCCACTGCCTGGTTCCAAAGCCAAGGCTACATGTTGTAGGGTTTTGTTACAGTAGCACCTCATTTTGGGTAACACATTTCTGTTTTGGTCCTCTATTGCTGCAGAACAAGCCATTACAAAATTTAAAGTTTTAAAATGACAATTATTTTATTACCTTTAGTGATTTTATATGCTAATTTGGGTTAGAGGCCTTCTTGTGCTCTTCATGTCAGCTGGGGCTGTAATCATCTGGTGGCTCAATTGAATTTACAGAGAGGAAGGGAGAGGAATAGAGAGTTAGAAACATCGATGAGAGAAACATTGATCAGCTGCCTCCTGCACACCCCCTACTGGGGATGTGCCCAAACCAAGGTACATGCCCTTGACTGGAATCGAACCCGGGACCCCTCAGTCCACAGGCCGACACTCTATCCACTGAGCCAAACCAGTCAGGGCTGAATTTAAATGGCTAAGATGGCTGCATTAGTTATTTATTGCTGTGTAAAATATTATTTCCAAACTTAGTAGGTTAAAACAATAAAAAATTATTACCTCACAGCTTTTGTAGATTAAGAATCTGGGAGCAGCTTAACTGATTGGTTTTGGCTCAGGGTGTCTCCTGAGGTTGCAGTCAAGCTGTCTACTAAATTGAAGTCATCTGAAGTCTAGTAAATCTACTTCGTGTGTTTTCAGGCAGGCCTCAGTTCCTCACCACAGAGGCCTCTCTTTAGGCCGCCTGTTTGTCCTCGTGAAATGGCAGCTGGCCTCCTGAGTGAGTGACCTGAGAAAGGGCCATCAAGATGAAAACTACAGTGCAATTTATAATCTTTGAAAGGACTTACCATCACTTCTGTGGTATTCAGTTGGTCATACAAACTGTATGGGAGGGGACCTCACAAAGATAGGAATAACAGAAAACTACCTTTATTGGGTGTCATATTGAAGACTTGCTGGCTACATGAAACTCACTCACGTGGCTGCTGATTAGTGCTTGATATAGTGAGTGCCTCTGCTTTCATATTTGTGATTCTTCCTTCTACCTGGGCTTCTCACTGCATAGAGGCTGATTTCCAAGGGGCAGCAAGTAGACGCTTAGAAATCCCAGAATGGCCTTCTGCTATATTCTAAGGGTGTCCTAAAATTCACGCAAGATTTGAATTTTACGCCATTTGTGCCGTAAAGTGTTGCCAACGACGAAAAAAGATAGCGTGACAGCTGACAGTTCAGGGTTATTAAAAATGGAGTGCTCCACGAAAGAACAATGCGTTTTCATTGTTGAGCAATATTTTAAAAATAATGAAGGTTTGGCAGCTACAGTTCGCAATTTTCGTGCAAAATATGTTCGGCAGAGTGATTTAACTTCCTCAACTGTGAAGAGATTAATTAAAAAATTTAGGAAGACTGGATCAATTAGTGATCTTAAACACTCTGGCCGTCCTTCAACAAGTCGTTCAACACAAAACATCGAAGTAGTTCATGGGAGTGTTGCTGAGAGCCCAGGGACATCAATTCGGCACCGTGGTCAAGAATTGGACATTCCGAGAAGCTCTCTACAGCGCATTCTCACGAAAGAGTTGCATCTTCCTGCTTACAAAGTTCAGATGACTCAAGAACTGAAGCCTACTGACCAGGCACAGTGAATAGAGTTCGTTGAATGGATTATGG